ACGCAAAGTAAAACATAATTTATTATATTATTAACGCAAGGGTTAGTTGCATTGTCACGACTCGAAGAAAGGATGCTCTCCTGAATCTTCAAGGGTCGCTTTTGTCCCAAGACCATAGGGTTTGTCAACCTTGACCCAAATTCGCAAGCTCCGCAAGGGAAAGCTCCTATTGAAACTTTTAATGCTTCGGCCTATTTAGGGGTGGGCAATTTAGTTGGTCGCACGAAAAGCAGCTTAACAGTTTTATCGAACAATTTTTTATTGGACCATCGAGAGTGTCGGGAAATTATCTTGACGACTAAGTGACGAAGGTCGTTGAATCGTGTAAATGGAAACGTGAAAATGATATACTTCACAAGTCACTCCCTTATGATTATATATTTTGTGACACAAAGGGGTTTATTAAAACGTGCGTTTGCATGAATGAACGTAATTGAAATGACGTTTATGATGAAATATTTAAATAATTTTGAAGTGAATGAAATTATTAAATTGAGACAAGATTAAATCGACCCCTGCCGTAATCTCACGTTAGGTATTTGCACGCGAGGTAATCTCACGCTTGGTATTTTCACGCGTCGTACTTCCACGCATGGTAGTCTCAAGGGTCATAATTCCACGCATGGTAGTCTCACGCTTGATATTTCTACGCGTCGTATTTCCACGCATGGTAATCTCACGCGTCGTATTTCCACGCATGGTAGTCTCACGCTTGATATTTGCACACGTTGTATTTCCACGCATGGTAGTCTCACGCTTGATATTTCTACGCGTCGTATTTCCACGCATGGTAATCTCACGCGTCGTATTTCCACGCGTGGTAGTCTCACGCTTGATATTTCCACGCGTCGCATGGTAGTCTCATGCTTGGTATTTCCACGCGTGGTAATCTCACGCTTGGTAATTTCACGCTTGGTAATTCCACGCGTGGTAATCTCATGCTTGGTATTTCCACGCGTGGTATTCTCACGCATCGTATTTCCACGCGTGGTAGTCTCACGCTTGGTATTTCCACGCTTGGTATTTCCACGCGTGGTAATCTCACGCTTGGTAATTTCACGCTTGGTAATTCCACGCGTGGTAATCTCATGCTTGGTATTTCCACGCGTGGTATTCTCACGCATCGTATTTCAAAACGTTGTAGTCTCACGCTTGGTATTTCCACGCGTCGTAATACACAGGAGATTAGAACAAAGATGGAACCAGAAGACCTTCAAGTCTTTAATTAATTATTTCTTACATTAAAAAATAACAAACAGAGCTATTTAATAGTACAGTATTTTACCAATATTTAACAGTATTTTTTAACAATATTATTACCCAGTTTTGGAGTGCAATGTCGTCACACAGAAATTAAAAAACAAGAGAATAATGTTCAGTTGAATAAACACAAACGATGAGACATAGCTATTGTTTTTATACAGAGACCGTAGAATATTGATCCTGCGAGTGATAACGTAATATCAAGTATATTTCCCTGGAGTTCACAGGGAGTTTGGTGAACTGCATCAGGGATTCTGGGTAACACCGGAAGCTTCGCGAACGTTCCCGGGTCAGGAAGTAGCTCGAGGCGTTGAATGTTACGCGTTTACCGCCAATAACAGCGGCCATATCGCTCAAGTAAATTACAAATCCCAGCTGCGTAAATTGGAAACCAAACGAGGCTTGTTGTAACCTCGTTATTCCGTAAAGGAGGTTTTCATTAATACGATATTATATCGCGTACATGGTAACGTCAATATATTACGGGTAAGTGATCCACTTTGTCCTAGGCAGCTTGCATTACGCGCAAATACGCGTGCAAATTATGTGAATTGATATTCGCGCAGAAATGTACACATAAGCAGAGATGTGAATATAAGATTGATACGTGATGATATGTGTTTAATTGTGAATTCAAAGCAGATACTTCATTTACAAGTTTTGCTTTATTATTCGTATTTAGGGCTATAGAAGTATAAGAGTATATAGGAGTGCAAAGTTGAATATATAATGATGTAAGGATATAGAGATATATGATGGGATTCTAACACACACATAGGAATCTTGGATTTTGGGAACTTTGGAATTTGGGGATCTTGGAATATTAGGACTACGAGTAGATATACCAAGCGTGAGACCGCCATGCATGGAAATACCAAGCGTGAGACTACCATGCATGAAAATAACAAGCGTGAGACTACCATGCATGGAAATATCAAGCGTGAGACTACCGCGCGTGGAAATACCAAGCGTGAGACTACCACGCGTGGAAATACCAAGCGTGAGATTACCACGCAAGGAATACCAAGCGTGAGATTACCACACATGGAAATATCAAACGTGAGATTACCACACGTGGAAATACCAAGCATGAGACTACCATGCGTGGAAGTACGATACGTGAGATTACCATGCTTTGGAAATACCAAGCGTGAGATTACCACGCGTGGAAATACCAAGCGTGAGAATACTACGCGTAGAAATACCAAGCGTGAGTTTTCCACGCGTGGAAGTACCAAGCGTGAGATTACCACGCGTGGAATTACCAAGCGTGAAATTACCACGCGTGGAAATACCAAGCGTGAGAATACTACGCGTAGAAATACCAAGCGTGAGTTTACCACGCGTGGAAGTACCAAGCGTGAGATTACCACGCGTGGAAGTACCAAGCGTGAGATTACCACGCGTGGAAATACCAAGCATGAGACTACCATGCGTGGAAATACGACACGTGAGATTACCATGCGTGGAAATACCAAGCGTGAGATTACCACGCGTGGAAGTACCAAGCGTGAGATTACCACGCGTGGAAATACGACGCGTGAGATTACCATACGTGGAATTTGGGAACCTTGGGATTTGGGGACCTCGAAATTTGGGAACCTTGGAATTTGAGGACGTAGAAACTCCCTAAAATTTAGAAACATAAAAAATTCACATAACCCTATCTAAAACTTCAAAATTCCAAAATGTATACAAAATAAACCTAAGAACCAAAGCCACGAGGTGAGTAATCCACCGACAAGATAATTTTCCGCGTCTGAGAAGAGACACGGTGATTCAACAAACACGCACAGCGGTCTGATTGACGTTTCAATAATCGAGTAGCATGAAAGGAGTCAGAAAAGAAGTCGATTGCGAAGCGTCAACGGGGGGTGAGAAAAAAAAGAAGAGACACGTAGGCTACGCGCGTATGTACGATCGACCGCGAAAATAAACGCTCCAGTTTTAGCGTGTAACAGGTATATTGTTTGAACTCGGTTATATCGAGGTCAATTAAACCAAGTATCCAACGAAGCCGCGCCGAACGTTCGACCCTCCTCCCTTCTCTGTCGCGAATTCGCGTATCTTTCGCGTCTGCCATGTGTGTCAGGGTTAAATCATGCGTGAACACGCGGTGCGTAGGTGAATTTGCAAACTGGATGACGCACGAGATTACAATTTCGTACGCGTGAAATTCTTTTTTAGCACGTGCTTGCCATTCATGCGACTCGATAGGCTTTGTTTTGAGACGTGTGAAATTTACTGGGGATGTGAGAGGAAAATTTTAGTAGTATGTGGATTTTGATGGGTTGATTTTGTTGTTTTGAGGGATTTGAATTTTGGAATTGGGGGGTGGTGTTTTTGAGGGTGGATGTTTAAGGAGATAAGGATTTGGGAAGATGGCAATTTTGGGAGATAGGGATTTTGGGGAGATAACAATTTGGGTAGATAGGGATTTTGGGATATGGGGATTTGGGGAGATAGTGATTTAGGAAGATGGGGATTTGGGAAGAAATGGATTTGAGGATATGGGGATTTGGAGAGATGGCAATTTGGGGAGATGGGAAATTTGAGGAGACAAGGATTTACGAAGATGGGGATTTGGGGAGATATGGATTTGGGGATATGGGGATTTAGAGAGATGGCAATTTAGGGAGAAGAGAGATTTGAAGAGATGGGGATTTGAAGAAATAGCGATTTGTAAATATGGCAACTTGAGGAGATAGTAATTTTGGGTGATAGGGATTTAGGGAGATAGGGATTTGGGGAAATATCAATTTGGGGAGATCGAAATTTGAGAATTTGGGAATTTGGGAATTTGGGAATTATGGAATTTGAGAATTTTGGGACTTTGAGACGTAATTTTGGGATCTGGAAATTTTGGGATTTAGAAATTTATGAATTCACAAATTCAAAGACTTCGTAAAGTTTAATGAAATTTGACGAAGTTTGACGAAGTCTGATGAAGTCTGATTAAGTCTGATGAAGTTTGATGAAGTTTCAAAGAAAATTTGGTAAAGTTCTAATTACTTATAATAACAGTAATTAATATTGCCAAATGAACTGAACACTAGTGCATTATCTGACTTCAGTAGTAGAACCAATACATAGTCAGCCACATATAAGTCATCCTTATTAAAAACATCAAAAATTAATCTTCCAATTGAATCCTTCCATCTACTACTTCAAATATACAAAGTACAACCATAACAAGAGTACTAAATTTTTCATAAATTACACATTACAAGTATTGACATCGTATACGTTTATGAATTAATAAATCATTCAATGAAAATCACTTACTCTAAATATTACAGAATAATATATATAGTTACAAAAATATTTATGATTTCCATAACCATGAAACGTTATTATTAAAAAAATAGTAATTTTATCTCTTTTATGTCACATTTATATATTCAACCAAATAATCCGAGGGTTACAATCGATTACAGTTGAACGTCGCTGCGTGGACTAATTTTCATTATGGAAGCATGTTGATGTACCGTGGATACAATTACGAATAATGGGATTAAAGTTTTTTTTTGTGGTAGCTACGTGCGAATTTCCAGGACAATGGAATTTGGTAACAAGGTGTTTCAAGGGTAGCTCGTTACATGGGACTTTAATTAAAGTTACCCTTCTATGCAAGAAATCTCTTCTCACCTACCCTCGTTTGCGTCTTTTTAATGCGATAAGTTTGAAACCTTAACGTTAAACGCTGTTTAACTGTCCTTTCTTATTTTTTGTTTCAGAAAACTTGGCTTGTGGAACGACTGAACGAAATCTTGGGCAAGGTAGGGAATTTTAAGGAAATCTCTAAAATTCGTGATTTGAATTTTGAGAAGAAAATTTGGGAGTTGTTCTTTATAACTGAGTTTTTAATTATTCTTTGACAATTATTCTTTGATAATTATTCTTTGATTTTTATCATTCCTTTTTTGCAGAAAAATGACAATAAAGTGTAAGAGGTATTAAATAAAATACGTACATATGTGATATAACGTTAGAAGTATTCTATATTTTATACTATTTTTATGTTTTTACAAATTAAATTTTATTTATACTAGCTTGTAAAATAACACACTTGTTGTCAACTGATATTTTAGGTTATATTTTATTTTTGTTAATTTCGAGTGGCAGTTGAAGGTTTAAGATGACTTTGTAATTCAATTTATATATATAGAAAAATTCTATTAGTGCCAAACCAGTATACTGTTTGAAAGAAGTATCTTATGAATGTTCATATTAAATATAAGAATCAGAGCATATGTATCAGTGTAAGGTCGATGGCATCCATTTTGAGTGCACAACTTCAAAATGGCTGACCGTCAACTTAACCTCAAAATGGCCGATCGTCAACTTAACCTCAAAATGGTCAACCTCTATTGACTATAACACATAACCAAATATCAACATAACCTCTATTTATTAAAATGTGATACTCTATGATACCTCTATTTATTAAAATATAATCTGACACTTTATGTAATCCTACATATATTCACATATAAACACATACATAATGATAACATTATATAACTACGTAACATGAAGAATATTCAAAAGATTTCAAAGAAGAATATCAAAACATTGTGTTTTCTTAAAAGACTTCTCTTAGATCTTCAAAGTTTCAGTACGCAAATAATTGAATTTTAATAATGATGAGAAAATCGAAGCATAAGAATAATTTAGTACTAATGAACAATCGATATCAAAGCGTTCGTCCGTCGACTCACGTGTCTCCAAAGTAGCTACAATTTCCACTTCCTGTCGTTCTTACGTTCATCGATTCGATCTTGTCATAAACACATGCCAGCATTCGTGGCATTTAACGACAGATTTTGACACTCGACACCTGCTTCGATCTGTCGCGGTATAATCGGTCAACCCTATTCAAAGCGACCCAGTTTTCGAGATCGCCACGTCAAAGCCGTTTGCACTTCGATTCGATCTAAAGTGGAATGCGTTCTATCTCCCCGTTAAGCTGCCGTCGATAAATACGATCGAGCTCTCCCTTCTCTTAGTTCTTTATTCTCCCGATTTATATTTAACGCGAATACGTTGTAAAACAATTTGTGCAGGGAAATACCGAGGATGAGTCTTAGGGATATGAGGTTTCAGGGGTATTTCGTTTCAGGGATATTGGGTTTTAGGGATACAAAGATTTGAGGGATAGGGTTTTAAGGATATGCTTTTAGGGATATACGGTTTCAGGAATATTGTGTGATAGAGTTTTAGGGATAGATGTAGAATGTGGTGATTTGGGAATTAGAGGTTTATCAATTAGAGTCTTGAAATCCAAAGGTGTTAGAATCTAAGGGTGCACAATTTTTGAAAATATCCAAGAGTGTAGAGTCCTACTTATATAAATCTGGCTTTGAAATCTAGAAATACAAATTATCTAAAATCACCCCAATCTACAAATCTATTGATTTAGACCCCTCATACTCATTTTCCCTCTCAATAAAATTTTTTCCTTTCAAATATTCAACTTCTGATATCCATACTTGTGTCTTAACCTATTAGTGTCTTAACCTATCACCAACCAACAATCAACAAAAATATATAAATCTATCAACAAACACCTAAAACACCTAAACTACTATTTTTTAATAAAATAGAAATACAATACAATAAATAGAAGGACTTCTAATGGTACCAATATGAACGTGATTCAATGAATCAATGATCAATAAACTTGAAGGACATTTACGCAAATGTTATAGGCAAAATATAGTTCATGGGCAAAACGATAAACCATGGATATTCATCAGGGATTAATGGTGAACCCTGAACTAGGAAATTCGATGATTTTCACGATGGTTTTGACTTTGCCCGGGATTTCGTGGAAGCGAGGTTATAATGGAGTATGTTTGTTGCGGTGAAACTAACTGAAACGGGAAAATCGATGGGAATCGAGTAGCTCGATCGCGACGTAAGTGGATTTGAGAATACTTTTGCGAACGGAGTTGAGAGGGTGGGTTTTTCGAACTCGTTCCGTGAAATGAGTGATACGATTTGTTGAGCGATTTTAGAGTTTAATGTCTATTTGCAAGGTGCTTCGGTTTCGTATCTGTGACCTATTTATGTTGAGATGATTTTTATTAAATTACGACAAATTATAGATTACGACTTTTTGGTATTTCTGAAAGTAGTAAGTTTTTATGCATACTATTTTCTGAGGTTTAATTTCAGAAATTTGTAATTTTTAAAATTTTAATATTTGTTTGATTTTAAAGTTTCAGAGAAGTTTTCGATATTCCATGTCGATGATCTAAAATCGTAAAGTCCAAAATTCTAGAATCGTAAGGTTTCACGAACTCAAAGATCCCCAAATCTCAAAATCTCTAAATTCTAAAAATTCCAAATCTCAAAATCTCCAAATTCTAAAAATGCCAAATCTCAAAATATCTAAATTCTGGCAGTGCCAAATTTCAAAAAATCCAAATACAAAAGTTCCCAAATCCCAAGGTACCCAAATCCTAAATTTCCCAAATTTGTAAATCTCCAAATTTCTAAGTGTCTAAGTTTCCAAACTCTCGACTCTTAAAATCCCAATTCCCAAGAAGTCTAAATCTCCAAAGTCCCTAAAACTCCAAATTCCCCAAATCTCCAAACACCCCATAATTTAAAAATCACCAAATCACCAAATCTCCAAACCTTTAAATCTCCAAATCTCCAAATCTCCAAATCTGCAAACCTCTAAATCTCCAAAATACAAGAAGCTGCAAATGATAACCCAGTTTCATATTCATCAAAGGTGTCGCGAAGTTTCGTCTCCAGAAACTCAGCACGATCGTTAATTACAGTTCGTTCGTGCGCACAGCGTGAAAATCGAATTAGCTCAGCAGAACTCAACGAGAAGAAACGCGAAGATAGTTCTTCAGTAAAATGAAACGAGTACCGATCTCGAATTTAATTGTCCGGGCAGGATTTATGATGTTCCCTAAAGCTCCTACAGTACGAAAGTCGATTATACTGACACGTCAAAAGTGACTATAAGAGATGCTGAACGTCGTAATTGTTTAAAGAGCAGGATTATCCCGTATCTCTGTCAGTCAGCCATCGAGGATTTAATTGCAAAGAAGTACCGATGTCAACCCACCAGTTGTGACCCAAAGTAAAAGAAGCTCTGTCCAAAAAGAAACAGGAGGAGAGGAAGGTCAAGCGCGACACAAAGCTTTTTGACGCGCAAAAAATGTACGAACCAACGTAGATCTTGATGACATTGATGTATAGATGTCAATCCAGTTGTCGCGTGACCCAAAGTGAAAGAAGCTCTGTTCATCATGAATGCAATCATATTTCGGCAGATAAGAATAATGACAACTGCTGAACGCAAGTAGCATCTCGCTCACTTGAGAGACGTTTGCTGTCATTGTTTTTCGCCTAATACGACCTCTTGAGACGATACCGAAAATACGTGTGTGGCGTCCATTTTTCTATTCTGACCAATTGTAGCTCTTCTAAACACGTCACCTTCGCGCGCCAACCGTGCGTTGACATAGGTATGTAGATATAGAGATTCAGGGATTATAAGGACTTGGAGATACAGGGAGGGGATATTGAAATTTGGTGATACATGGATTTGGAGATGTGGGATTTGGAAATAGGTTTGGAGATATAGGGATCTAGAAATGTAGAGATTTTAGAATACAGAAATTTGGGAATATAGGAATTTGTGGATGTAGAGATCTAAGGATAGAGATTTACGAATTTAGTCTCTGAATTTGGAATATGAGCTCTTCTAAACATCTCAACCTCTTCAAACGCCAACTCATGGATTGTCATCTATAATTTGCTAGAATGAATCTTCCGGAATAGTAGGAAATTATTCGATCGTAATAAGCGCCTTTCTGGATTCAACTTCCGAGAACACTGACGTCTTTCACCTACTTTCGAGAGAAACTCGCGAGTGTCAGGCTTGACTCCGCGTCTGATACGGAGATAATTCGCCGTTAATTTTTGATCTTTGATCCTGAGAGCTCTGTCTAGTCTTCACCTAGTTTCTACACTGATTGGAAGACGGTTTCCACGAACGGAAATGTTACTCTTCTTCACTTTAACAGGTAATTGATCTAACGCTTCAAAGCGTATATCCAAGGAAAACCAAGTCTTATCATTTTAATCTTCAAAATCGTATTTAAATTACAGTTTTTTAATTGAACGAAATAATTTAGAAATCTATGTACTATTTTGCCTTTTTTAGATAATTTTGTTCAAAAGTCATTTTGTAAAATAATTTTTATTTCTTCGAGTCAGAAATCCTTTAAGTTTGATACAATTTTTATTTTATGTTTTCTGACCTCGAATTTTTATTCGAGCTGTTCAGTCACGATGGAAAATTTATTTTTATTTTTATCATTAAATCTTGTAAGACAAGATAAAAAAAGTTATCTAAGGCAATTCACTATAAGTAAAAATATTCTTATGAAAGATTTTTGCAAAGACCAAATCGAAGCGTTCTAAAAAAATCGCCTTCGAAATTTAAATAATTTAATCATCATTTCATAATTCATATAATTATTGAAACGTGCATGGAAGTTTATTACACATCACCTAATTAAATGCCTCCAACATAATATTTTAAGAAGACCAGCACAATTTTCACTTTATAAAACTACGCTTCCCGCTAATACGCTAGGGGCTGAAAATATATGAGGGTTAGAAAAGATGAATTTTTAAACGAGTAGTCCCCAGTGTCGTGTAACCTTGGACAGGCTTTAAGATCTATTTACTTTTATGGAAACTGAAGTTTCTTCAAGTGCCTACTTTCACGATGAAAGCATCATGC